AGAGAAGCAAATCCGTCGACAAAGCGAAAAGTTACAAATTCATTTCGAAAATGAAACGACATTACTTTGGGACAACCTAATGTATGATTAAGATGATACTTCAACTAATTTTGATGACTCTTACTTTTGGCAGCGAGCAAGCAAAATAGTAGCGCAGCAGATAAACTTAGTTGAAGAGTGTAAGTGTGTATCTCAAATCATGCCAGTCTACTTATCTTTTTCTATTGAAGTACATCAGTGATGCAATCAGAGAGTTTTTTACCTCCGATGGTTTCTCAAGTCTGTGGATTGTTTCTGCGTCTCTGTACGATTGAACTAACCTTTAGATCATTTTCGAGCCAAGCGTACTGCGTCAGCACTGGTCCCTGTCCATACAGATAATAGAATCCATAGTACTCCGTGCTGACACCAACCCAATGCACTGGCCCGAGATCGAAGCTAAACATCAGATCATTACCCTAGTGTACCGAAAGATGATTGCACCTTACCTGTAAAACTGATTGTCATGATAGCCATTGTGAGGCATCCAGAATCGTTCCTGGTAATCTGTGAAGTTCTTTCCATCATCTTCATGATTTCCCGCAATCACCATATATGGCACCTATTCAGTAAGTTTCTATCCACGGTCAGCAGCTGAATTATTTACCCTAGATAGCAGTGGTTCAAGCTGGTTCATGTAGTTGTCACCATTTGCTCCATTATTAGTATGCAAATCATAGGATATGTCTCCTTAACAAATGACGGTCAATATTTTAGATTCTCAGCTTAATGATGGTCGTATTGTCATGAAAACTAAAATTTTATTCGAATTTTATTTTCGCTACTTAGAATAAACGTCTCATTTTACTGACGATAAGCAATTCTTTATCCTTGTTGACCTACCGAGGTGAATAATAAAGTCGAATTTTCCAGCGAGACCATTCTTTATCAAGCTTTCGGTGGAATTACCATGAAAATATCCAAGATCACCGAATAAACATACCTAAAGCTGAAACATGTGAGGAAAACTACATTAGATTTAGCTAGATTTAGAAGACTTACCTTATACGTCTGAGGATCCTTCGCCAGCGTTTTGAAGGAAAATCGCCTGCTTCCAATTTGATAATCTAGAAAGTGCGTATTCCTTTAGAAAAATAAGC